ATTTTAGTTATTTTTTTAGAAAATAGTTAAAACATAATTTTAACTATTTCTTAAAAAATTTAACTTTGTCGAAATACGATTCAGTTAAATTTACTAAATTTAGATATATCCTATTTTTTTAACTAAGCCGGTCTATTGGGTGACATAAACCAGCCTTCAGGACGTCGCAGGTCGAAGGTCTGGGGAAGATTCAGTGGAGGTCGTCCTTCTTCATCCGGCATGAGGGCATCCTGACAGCCGCTTGATCTTCCTCAGCTCCTCTTTCAGCTCCTCCAGGACTCGCCAGTGCAGTTCTTCCCGTACGTCCAGAAGGACCTGCAGAGGCCACTTGTGAGGGGCACTGACATGCCACTCTCCCAACAAGTTGATGGCGTGCTCCCGTACAGCCTTCCATTCGATGCCGTACACGAGTGCCCATATGTCATTCTGACGTTTCACTCTGTTGAGCCAATCCTCATAGCGAGTGGGCGCAGTTGGCCTCTGCTCATTCGTAGGCTTCCCGCTCTCGATTGTGAACTGGTCCAACTCGGCGTCGGTGCAGGGGACGAAGTCCGAGGCGCTCAGGGCATACTTTTCCTGCGTACCCCAGTAGGGCCCAGCAATCCCGATGGCAAGCCTGGAGGTGATTTTCTGCCTGAATCCAGCACTCCGCAACTTCGTCGATGAGCCAGCTTGAGCTGCAAGGAGTGCCTGGGCCAGGGGAGCACCATACTCACCATCTCCGACTTGCACGGTGTATTGTCCGCAAGCTCGAAGCAAGAACACGAGTTCTTCTGAAGTCTTCCCAAGGCTCTTCAAAGATCCGCCGGCTCCCGATGTGGTTCCCTGCTGAGCTTTGACCAACGTTGCGAGCTCATTCGTCTGCTGCTGGACCCCTGGATCGCCTTCGCGATGTCGGTCATCTGGCCCCCACGCTCTTCCGGCCCAGTGCCAGCCTTCCGGTCTGGATCATAGATGCCCGGAGGAGGGACCGTCGCTAACTTCTTCTTGGGGAGAGTCTCAACCGGACCTGGACTCAATACAGATTTGGTCCCCGAAGACTCGATGGTGTAGGTGCTGAACTATCTGTTCCTTTTCCACCACGCTCCAATCTGAGAGGGATGGGTCGATCCTGAGCAGCTGCCTGTTGGCGCCATTTCGCCAAGAACTTCGTCAGCCCTTTGGTGCCCTTGCTCGTACAGGTACCGGGTGAGATCTCCCACTGTCAATCCAGCTTGGGCGGCCAACTGCTTCCTTATGTCCTCCTCACTAAGCTGTATAATCTGTATAGCTCCCTTCCATCAGCCATCTGCTCCATGAACTCCTCCAGGTAGGTCATGTCCGCCCTGCGATCCGGCGAATTGATCATTCCCATCCTGGCCAAAGCTGTGCTGCACCGATGACTTGGGTGTGTGACCGGGAGATGCAACCCTCCTTCTCCTGAGGGCAGGTGGTTCCTCCTCCTTCTCTTCACGAACCTCACGAAGGATGTTCTCCGCTTCATCGACCTGGTACGATACCTCGCGGCCTCGTCCACGACGCCTCACTCGATCGTCCCCATCTCCTTCTGCGCGTTCATCTCCTTCATCTTCTCCAGGAGGTGGTTCCCGAGCCCTCGACCTCGACCGCGTGGAGCGTCTGGTCGGAGTGGAAGCATGTTCTTGGTGAACGCCACATAGACGCATGCCCTGCTTAGTGACCGCCCCGAGTCTCTGGCACCCTCCGTATACGAACGCTTCGAGGCCGCCCTCGAGGTCAAGTAACGGACTGCGTGAGCCGAGCAAAGGACCGCCGGCTGATCAGCTGGAAGGCATATCCGATCCTCCTCCAACATCTCGACATCTGTAGCCGCATGGTCCTTGCATTGATGCTCATGAGGCAAACCCGACCGGTCTCCCCCTCCCACTTGACAAGGTGAGCGCAACATCCTCCGATCTCCTCTCGCTCGGACTCGGATGCATAGTCCTTCAGCCGCTTCGCGGTCTTGTTGGCCTTGGAGAAAAGCCATCCCATCGTCCTCATCCCTGTCTTCTGGGCCCCAGCCGCGGTAGACATGAGGTGAAAGCGTTCGGGATTGAGCTGGCGAGCCAAGGCATAGCTCTTCAAGTGCTGGCCTTCCTCAGGACACGAATCGTGCCTGCACAGGTGCACCCGTTCGTACCACTGGGCGTCGCCTCGGGTTGCTTCAGGGTCAAAACTCAAGTACATCCTGCTGGACTTGATCGCCGCATTCTCGGTGACCTTGATGATGACCACATAGCCATCCCGCCGAAGAAGGACCCATCGATCTTCATTGGCTCCCTTCTTCATCCTGCGGAGGTCGGCCGTCTCGGGGATCTCGCCTGTGTCCGGACCAATGAAGGTCGCTCCCGTCACCTCAGGGACTCCTCTCGACATCCGCTGGGCGTAGAACGCGGCCCTTAACGCAGCATCTCACAAGCCCTCGGACCACCCACACTGCGGTCGGGATGGTTCCAATGACCAAGGAGCAGAGCGGCCAGGCCAAGGAGAGGAAGTAGTGGAGCACCACGCAAACAACCATCAGCAAGGCAATCCGCAGGATCATCGAGCAGCCTGTTCTGACGCTGGCCCAACTCTGTCCAAACACCAACCAGCCAACGCCTGACAGCAACGTGTCCAAAAGCGTCCAGGCTAGGCTATCCCAGGTCGTCAGGGTGGAGTACTGCGCCTGGGCAGCCGCCACCGTGGCATTTACCTGCCGTTGCAGGCAGCTGACCGGTTGGTCCCAGCACGAGGCGTTGGGAGAGTTTGTCGCCTCCTCCTCAACCGCCTGCCGCCAACCATCGATGGGGACTGCAGACCATAAAAGGCCCACCGCAAAAAGCCCCCATCAAGCCATGGCGTGAGCCCGCCACAAACTCGAAAAAAGGCCTCTTGGGCCAAAGGCTTCGCGCCGTCAGGCATGCAAAGCTCCAAGTAACGGTTGTGGAAAACCTCCAATATATATGCGCACTTAGATCCATGCTCGCAAGAGCTAAATCAGTTTTGAACTCCAGTGCATTGAACCCTTCAGGTGAATACTTAGCGCTTGACTTGATTCAACGGCAAGAAGTGCTGGGCCGGTCAACCAGCAAGTTTCAACAAGAACGCATTAGCCCTGTAATGAAAAGTGGAGTGGACAGCTTGGTCAACAGTTGAAAAAGAAGAATAAAGTAAAAATTGCGCAGGTACACAGGAGTGATCAGCTCCCGCTTCCTAGGACTAGTGCAAAGAGCTTCGTTGGGCAGAGCCTTGCGTGTCCTCTCTGCCCCCCAGCGGAGGTGACGCACACGAAAAGCCGTATCGGTTGCTCCCGTTCCCTTGACTTAAAACTAACACCTGAAAAGAATCGGAAAGAAAGAAAGCAAGACAGTGCATGAATTACTCAGGGTGAAAAACAGACAAGTGAATACTTAGCAGCACGACATGAGAGAGACCTGAGTTACGCATAAAAGGCCTCTAGCAGCGAAAAAAGACCGAGAAAGCAAAAAGAAGCAGCAAGAAGGAAAGCAAAACAACCCCAAAGTGAGTACTTAGCAGCGTCGAGAGATAACTTAATTGTATGGACCGACCTGTACAGTGAATACGTGGCAGCATGTAGTTTATGTCATTCTGTGGTGGATTCAATTGGCCCTGCGGCATATGATCTGCAATCTCGAGCAAATGGCTGATCAGTGGAAAGTCATGTAGGACGAGGTGGGCAGTAAGATGTCAATGTTGAGGGCCTGTGCAACAGCGCCCAAAGCTGGGGCCACACAACAGACCTCAGTGGGACCGTGTTGCGATACACACTTAGATCCATGCTCGCAAGAGCTAAATCAGTTTTGAACTCCAGTGCATTGAACCCTTTAGGTGAACACTTAGCGTTTGACTTGAATCAACGGCAAGAAGTGGTGGGCCGGTCAACCAGCAAGTTTCAACAAGAACGCATTAGCCCTGTAATGAAAAGTGGAGTGGACAGCTTGGTCAACAGTTCAAAAAGAAGAAGAATAAAATAAAAATTGCGCAGGTACACAGGAGTGATCAGCTCCCGCTTCCTAGGACTAGTGCAAAGAGCTTCGTTGGGCAGAGCCTTGCACGTTCTCTCTGCCCCCCAGCGGAGGTGACACACACAGACAAAGCCGTATCGGCGCTCCTTTGACTTAAAATTAACCTGAAAAGAAACGGAACATGAATTACTCAGGGTGAAACGGACAAGTGAATACTTAGAAGCACGACATGAGAGAGACCTGAGTTACACATCAAAGGCCTCTAGCAGCGAAAGAAGACCGAGAAAGCAAAAAGAAACAGCAAGAAGGAAAGCAAAACAACCCCAAAGTGAGTACTTAGCAGCATCGAGAGATAACTTAATTGTATGGACCGACCTGTACAATGAATACGTGGCAGCATGTAGTTTGTGTCATTCTGTGGTGGATTCAGTTGGCCCTGCGGCATATGATCTGCAATCTCGAGTTCGAGCAAATGGCTGATCAGTGGAAAGTCATGTAGGACGAGGTGGGCAGTAAGATGTCAATGTTGAGGGCCTGTGCAACAGCGCCCAAAGCTGGGGCCACACAACAGACCTCAGTGGGACCGTGTTGCGATACACACTTAGATCCATGCTCGCAAGAGCTAAATCAGTTTTGAACTCCAGTGCATTGAGCCCTTTAGGTGAACACTTAGCGTTTGACTTGATTCAACGGCAAGAAGTGCTGGGCCGGTCAACCAGCAAGTTTCAACAAGAACGCATTAGCCCTGTAATGAAAAGTGGAGTGGACAGCTTGGTCAACAGTTGAAAAAGAAGAAGAATAAAGTAAAAATTGCGCAGGTACACAGGAGTGATCAGCTCCCGCTTCCTAGGACTAGTGCAAGGAGCTTCGTTGGGCAGAGCCTTGCACGTCCTCTCTGCCCCCCTGCGGAGCTGTACATCGTTGGAATTAAAGGTTCCTATAGGAGATGGAAACAAACAATGTGGCCATTCCCGTGGAGCAGGAGGTGACACACACACACACACACGTCATTTCAATGACTGACTCTGGCAGGTCGAGAAACTGGAAATTCAATATGTGGAAAAATTGGTGCTGCCCTTACCATTGTAGACTTTGACAATGCCTAAAGGGTTCTGGTTGTCTCAGCAGCTATGAGCGAAGCGGAGGTTGAAGTACCACAGATAATTTACGAGGACGTGTAATTTCAATGTTGCGTTGTGTATCTTTACTTTCCACGGGTGAATCTTCATCTTCATGCAATATCGGATTCTCTGTCTCTGCACATAGTCGTGCAAGGAGAAGATTGTAGAAATTCCCACTGTGGAAGTGCGAGAAGTCATCAAACAAGTTTCTAGACCAGAGGTTGGGATGTTGTACCATTGTACGTGCAATAGCAGTTCATGCTCCACGCAGTAGAGCGCTTTCTTTTAAGTTTGCTAGAGACAGAGCCAGTGCAATGCGCCTCATTGTATTTGTTCGTTTGTGCTTCCCGCAGCAGACATTGATGACATGCTCAGCGTAATCCTCATAGAAGCTTTGCAAAGGACAAGAACACATTCCACCCATGAGATCGATATCATATCCAATGACTTGATATTATGGCCCAAATGACATTATGCCACTCCTGTGCCTTTGATTTGGCTGCAAACAGTACAAACTGGCACACGTCTCCGTCTCCAGAAAAAGGAAACTCTTGCCAGTATGGCTGACACCATGCCATCTGGGCAGCTGGAGGTCGGGTGGGACAACGACAGAGTGTCACTTAAGGCCTTAAGGCCATGCTTGTGATATGGTGCGACTAAGCGACCGGGATGGAGTTGTCTTTGGGTGATGACTACGAAAGTGCATGGTTCGCGAACTGAAGCTCAAATCGGCTTTGTTTGATACTTTTTAATGGCTGCTTTGAAACTCTGCAGCGACTGTCAGGAAGCTTTGCTTGGCTCTCAATCTATGGGATGGATGACCACAGAGCATGAAATGGCCACTGTGTCCAGCGTTTAGTTTGAATCTGCTTTGTTTGCTTCTCATGCTTCATGCCCTGTTCGACCAGACGGATCTTTTAGCCAACGGTCAACTTTGACTTTTTTGCAACCAAGGAAATGCAAGCCTTCATTCATCAACATTTGCTAAGCATGCTCAGCCCATTTTCGCAGCACCTCAAGGACTTGAAGGACGACTTGGAGGCACTGCACTGACGAAGGAAATTGATGCTTTCATGGCTGAAACACTCTGAAGCACCAGTATCTTCTCACAAATTATGGGTCACTACATATGAACCAAACAATGCCTGCAGGCACTGAGAAAAGAAATGCAGGGCAAAGCAGAGCAATTGAAGCACACCAACACCGTGGTCAAGTTCCGCGGATCAAATCAGTTCACAAGTAGAAAATCATGATGTATCAATGTATCACTACAATGAGGTTGTGTTTTCAGTGTGGTTAGCAGGAGTGCGCAGGGATTCACTTGCCAAGCCTCTGAAGCGAGTGTGTATATAATTGCGTTATCAACTTGAGCGGTTGACGTCCTACTTTACTGTGCCTCTGCACGCTTCAGTCATTTTCTTGTCTCGCTATTTAATGCAAGCTTTCAGACAATGCCTGCGTTCATTGGCAACTCCGAGACACTGCCCTTTGGACTGTCCTTTGCCCATTTCTGTTGTAGCTGCTTTTAACTGAGGCCGTCGTCTTCGTCTCTCTTATTCTTCGTCGTTAGTCTGCCACCAACTGATCAACTACAACGAGCCATTAAGAATAATGGTATTCAGCACCCTTTGAGTGCAGTCCAAATGGTTTGTCCCTGTGGTGGGTTGCGTGTAGCGGTCAAATGTTGCTTTCATGGTTCTTTGCCAGATTGTGGGGCATTTTGTGAGTCAAGCTTTTGGTTGGGCTGTCGCTTGTAAACCATTGTTTGCATCGCTGAGTTTGTGTGTGATTACTAGTTGCCGTGCTTGAAAGTGGGGCTATTAGTCAAGGTGGACTCAACATATGTGGGAGTTTGAATGTGCGCGATTCAAGCTCGTTTTCATCGACCTGCTCAGTAGGCACTTGAGTTGAGGCAGCATGGGCATGAGCTGATGACCCTGACGCTTGATATCAACCAGGCGCGCAGTGAATGCACCCTTTGGCCAGTCAGTTTTTGACTCTTTGAAGCACAATTAAAGCAAGTACAAAAAATCAAGAAATCATGACGGCAATCAGGAAATCATGCATGGAAACATCATGGGCTTGCTGAAACCTTCAGGCCCACACGGAAGTGGGGAATCTTCGGAGAGAACTGGTGCCAGAGATTGAGAAGAAGATCAATGCAAGCAATGTGGAGCTTGAATTCGCCAAGGTGTGGAAGGTACTGAAAGCGCTCGATTTGTTCCAAAATGTGAGAGTGACATTCAAGCTGCAAGGCAACCAAGGCAATCAGCATCATTTGTTGAACAATTCAGCCCTGTTGATTCACTTTCACTGCCCTTGGTTTTAGGTGTACGAAGAATTGCATGTCAACAAGAGCACTATCGAGCAGCTGGGTGAAGAAGCTGTTGCCCCCCCAAAGATGTCTTCACACAACAAAGAGAAATGGAAGAAAGCATGACAAAAGAAAGGTCTAACAGCCTGAATATAAATAGAGCAAACAAATATCATATCCATATTATTGTTGTATCTACATATGGTATGTTATCTTATCATATGGTATGTAATGTAACGTAATGTAGTGTGGTGTAATGTTATGTAAAGTTATATATGCACAGCAATGTAATTAATGGTATTATATGGTATGGTTGGTATGTATGTAATGTAATGTTATGTTATGCCATTCATGTAATGCAACGTATGTAATGTAATATAATGTAATGCAATGAAATGTAATATAATGTAATGCAATGAAATGAAATGAAATGTAATGTAATGTAATTGTATGTAATGTAATGTAATGGAATGGACTTGTATTGTATTGTATTGCATGTGTATGTATGTGTATGTATGTGTACGTATGTGTATGTCTGTGTATGTCTGTGTATGTCTGTGTATGTCTGTATATGTATGTATATGTATGTATATGTATGTATGTGTATGTATGTGTATGTATGTGTATGT